CTAGAACGTGACAATTATTCCAACTTTTTTCAGGGCCCTCTAAAGATGCCATCACTCCCAGACAGTGGGAAGTAATTTTAAGAATATGATGCTCACATTCCCAAGAGGTGGATTGGGTGGTTTTGGGTCATTCAGTGGGTTATGGATATTTATCATTGTTGAGAGGGGTTGGTTACAAGTTGTTATTGGTAATGGTAAGGAAAAAGTCTGAACAAAGGAGATTAGATTCAGGGATCTTGTTCTGAAAAGAAAAAGCAGGAAATATAGAAGATACAGAAATGATAGGATAAAAGGGTATATTATTGAATCTACTTTTAAACTAAAAAAAGCAACTACTAGTCTTAAATATTTTACATTGGTATGGATTGTTGTGTATTGATACAAATTTGAGGTTATTTTTGTTAAGCTGTATATATGTTTCTACTCTTGTTTAAGATATTTTTGTATATTGATACAAATTTAAGGTTATTCACTCTTGCTCAAGATATTGCACCTATACATCTCATTTAATAATGTAATATAAATTTCTAGTCCTTGAAAGTTATTATTACCACTTATTTAGAATAATAAAGAAATGCAGATCAGTAGTTAGTCACCTGTTACAAAAAACTTGTAGTCATGTTAGGTATGTTTTCAAGGTCAAATAGATATATTTTAGATAGACAGGTGGTCTTCAAACACTTCAAAGATCTACAGAATATGTCATTTAAGATGTTTTAATAACATAAGGGTTTTTTTTTATGACAATGAGACATGCAGCACCAACCTACTTCAGAGAAGATGATGGGCATCAAAAAAACTCCATGTGGAGTTCACTTTCTTTGTGGCAAAAATTAGCCACTGGACAAGAAACTGCCCTTGCCTCAACTGCTGATGGTATGCTTTCCAAATTAGACAAGCAGGACACAAAAGAAAATGACTACCAAATTTTGCCAAGACAAGGAGGAACAAAAAACCTGCTTCAAAGAAAAGTCTGTCAGATATTCTAGAACTGTAGGCTGAAGATGGATGCCCCAACCTTACAGAGGAAACTTGGGTGACCAGGAAGCCAGCTGTTTCTGTCATTTTTAATTTTGAAGTTGTTTGCTCTGCACTTCCTGTTTACTCAGGTCATTTTATATCCTTCTCAGGTCTTTGATGAAGTTGAAGACTAGATAGTTATAGTTATAGCTTGCCTTATTATCAAATTCATTAAAGAAATTTACAAAAGAGGTGTAAAGTGTATAAGGTTGAGAGACATACAAAGATAGTTTTGGGTTGGTAATGCAAGTTAGGATAGAAAGTGAATTAGGTACAACACTTTGAACTCACCAAGATAGGACAGATAATGGAGTATTTTCTCTGAATTTTTCAAATGCAAATGAACTGGACATTGTTAATGTAATTCTTGCATGTATGTGTTGTATATAGTTATTGTACTTGTTGTATATAGTTTTACTATGTTAGTTAAAACCTTCTCTTTTCATTTGGACAAAAAGGGGGAAATGTTGTGTGATATTTTGATTGTGTTCTGACAAATAAAGCTTTCTTGGAGTCAGAGTGCAGGGCCAGCCACTAGCTGACCATAGAAGTTTGGAGGACTGTAGAGAGAGGAGACAGGAAGTGGTAAGGTGGGGCTGAGAGAGGGTCTCAGGCTTTTTGACAGAGAAATGAGAGAGGTAGGAAGCAACTGGTGGCTGCTCCCTGCGCTCTGATCTTTCGGGCTCTTACCCCAGTATTTGACTCCTGATGTTTTATAAAGATTAATTAGATTAATGCTTCACAGAATTTCCTCAGTTTGTATTGTATTTATTGCTTCTATTTTCACTTTCAGGTCTTGAACAGTTTTATTCATTTATTGTTTCCTTCAACTATTTGTCTTTTTCTTGGCTTTCTTTAAGGGATTTATTCATTTCCTCTTTAAGAACCTCTATCATCTTCGTAAAGTTGGCTTTAAGGTCTTTTTCTTGTGCTTCAGCTGTGTTGTAATATTCCAGGGTTGCTGTAGTAGGATATCTGGGCCCTGCTGGTGACATATTGCCTTGGAAGTTGATTGTATTCTTGCACTGACATCTAGGCATCTGAGTTTGAAGTGATTATAGGTCTAGGTGACAATTTCTGAGTTGTTGGATGGGTGTTTTGTTCCTTGGTTTCTGTTTCCTCTCTGTTTTTCTGGCTGATGTGGCCTATGATTGAGCAGGGGGTCTCCATCCAAGTTGAGGAATGGACTTCTGGTAGCTGATGTCACTTCTGATGGATCAAGGGGTCTCTGCCCAAGTTGGAGGCTAGGACAAGGCATTGAGGAGGGGTAGAAGAATTGGGTATAGGGTGGAGGGCACTAATGGAATTGGAGGGGGGGCAATGGGTGGGCAGCCTATCTGGACTTGTGGTTGCTGGTGTGGCCTCTGATGAGCAGTGGGTCTCCACCTGAGTCAGCATCTGGGTCATGGTGAGGAAGTTCCTGATGTTTATAGAGTATTGTTTGAGACTGCCTGGTTGTCATCATTTTATCCTCCCATGCACTCAAAATGTCAGCTGCTTTTCCCATTGTGAATTGTCTATAATATTAAGATTTCTTTGGTTCTTAGGTTGAAGCTCTAGCTGAGGACTTTGCCAACATGTACAAAGCCCCAGTTTCATTCCCCAGTGTGATGATTTGATTAGGTACCGTTTCCACAGACTCGTGTGTTTCAATGCTTGGCCCACAGGGAATGACACTATTAGATGGTGTGGCCTTGTTGGAGGAAGTGTGTTACTGTGGGGGTGGGCTTTGAGTTCTCAGCCAGTTCACTTTCTGTTGCCTGTAGATCAGGATGTAGAACACTCAGCTCCTTCTCCAGCACCATGTCTGCCTGCATGCCGCCATGCTTCTTGACATGATGATAAGGGACTAAACCTTTGAAACTGTAAGCCAGTCCCAATTAAATCTTTTCCTTTATATGAGTTGCTGTGGTCATGGTGTCTCTTCACAGCAATTAAAACCCTAACTAAGACAGAATTCAACACCACACATAAAACTGAGCATAGTGGTGCATTTTTGTAATCTAAGCACTCAGTAGGTGGAGGCAGGGGGGTCAGAAGTTCAAGGCCATCCTTGGCCGCATAAAGAGTTCAAGGCCAGTCTTGTCTCAAAAACTACGAAACCTTTTTAAGGTTCTACCTCTCAGCTCTGACCCTGTTCTCTCAGAGCCATGCCCAGTTTCCCCCGCCTGGCCCTCAGTCACATCATCTTCTGTTGCCCGATGTCCCCAGTCATGTCACCTTTTCTCCTGCCTAAAATCCCAGCTCCCATTGTCTGGTGTGGTCCCCAGAAGCTCTTGCACCTAGGCTTTGCGCCCTTACCGCTCGTGCTACCCGCCCAGCCTCCACACCCAGACACCTTTCTTTAAGTCTCCCAATTCCAGTTCCACCCCTTCTCTCCCTGCGCCATCACCAAAACTCCTCCCACACCTCATAGTTATGACCTCTTCCCTTTGGCTCCCTGCATGTGGCTGCTCTCAAATTCTCCCTGTCTTCCTATGGCCTTCCGGAGAAAGTCCTCATCTCAGATGCTGGTACCTGAGGTCCCTTAGGATACTTACCTCCCGTCACTCTTGACCTACAATAATCTCACAGTCCTCCCACCTCCTTTCTTGTTTGTCTGGTTTTCCCGTAACTCACTCTGTAGACCAGGCTGTCCTCGAACTCACAGAGATCCACCTGACTCTGCCTCCCAAGTGGAGGGCATGTGCCACCACACTCGGCTTCACCTCCTTATTTTTGCTGTTACTGAAGTGACTAAGGTAACAAATGCCATCTCGTCCTGTCTCCATCCATGTCTGCTTAGACTCTTCTCAGTCCTCAATCTTCCTCCTCTACCAACAATCATGTCCATCTTGGCATTACATTTGGAATTTCCATGACCCTGACTATGGTCCAGATGTATTCACTAAAATAGTTAATATTTATACAAACTAAACATAAACAAAAATAACCAAAAAAGGTATAAATCAAAATTAATTGTCATATTGTTTCTGAAATTACTACTGTGTTCAGCCAAAAATATGTTGCAAGGTTACTCTGACCCTCATCTAATATAGATGTAATTGTGTTCAGTCCTTCACACTGAGCAGTGGTGGCGTGCACCTTTAATCCCAACACCTGGGAGGCAGAGGTAGGTGGATCTCTGAGTTTGAGGCCAGCCTAATTTACTTGGCAAGTTCCAGGTTAGCCTGGGTTCTACAGAGAAACCCTGTCTCAAACAAACTAAACAACAAACAAATACAATCAAACCAAACAACAACAAAAACACTGTACCCCTGAGCTTTGGCACCAAGGGTCGTTCTGAGGTGCTAGCCCACTCTTGAGCTCTGATTCAAAATAAAGGACTCTAATTTTGGTGTGGTGGCCCATAGTTTCCTCATCTATACTATAACACTACAGAGAGAGTTTGAGGGAGATTATGTCTGAGAGGCTAGAACAAGGCAGAGGAGTCCAGGGTGGATGTCCAATTGGCTTGTAAAGCAGTGGGCAAAGCTAGGCTTCCAAGGAGCAGAAATGGAATAAAGCAAAGCGCCCTTGTGTGCATTTTACTGGTAGACGTGAATGAACACTTACTCCTTGTTCTTGAAGTAAGTGCTGTTATCCACTGAGCACTTCTCCAGCCCCGTAATATCCCAATTGTACTGATGAGAACATTCACACTCTAAAGGAAAGCACATCCCAAGGGTGCCCAGACAGTATGTGGCCACACTCGGATTCCTTCTGCTAACCACACCTGTGAGGTAGGACTGTAGCCTGTACTCCCTGGGATGCAAGGATTGAGCAGAGTATATTTAACAATGATCTATTCTCTGTGTCACTACATTTATTAAGCATCAGTGTCAGATCTGGGCATCTGAAGACTTTGAGAGTAGGGTAGGGTCTCAAGGAGAGAGAATCTGTAGCCAGCTAGGGGGAGGAGGTTTCATAGGTCAGGAACTGGGTATCTCATGTCAGAGCCACTTGTTTCTGATGACGTTTTGGATCCATCTGATATGGATGCAGACATCAGTGTAAACTCCCGGCTTCTTCTTTGATCCACAGGGCATGTTACCCCATGACACGAGGCCTCGGAGATGATCTCCACATACCAGGGGACCTCCAGAATCACCCTATGTGGAAGAGAGAAAATCAGAAACTCACGCAGAAGGAGGAGGGAGAGGCAGAATGGGAGGGGGCAGAATGGGAGAGTTAGAGATACTCCGAGATGGAAGGAAAGACTGGTGTGGTGGTACATGCCTGCTATCTCAACTACTCAAGATGCTGAGGCAGGAGGATTGCAAATTTAAGGCTAGGTTGTGCTATGTAGGAAGACTCTGTCTCAAAGTAAAAGAGGGATGAGGGTATAGCTCACCAATAAAGCACTTGCTGAGCATGAATAAGAACCTGGATTCAATTCTCAGTAAAAGACAGAGATAGATGAGGTGCTCAAGGACACTAAGTTTCGTAAAGGTATAGGTGGGAGAGAGGATGTTCAGATAAGCCATTCATCCTGGAGGGAAGGTTGTTAAGACCCAGTATGTTCTAAGGAGGGTTGAACATTCCATCCTACAGCAAAGATCCTTAAAATTCAAAAAACAAGCAACTCAAAAGCTTCAGCAAGCCGGGCGGTGGTGGCGCACGCCTTTAATCCCAGCACTCGGGAGGCAGAGCCAGGTGGATCTCTGTGAGTTCGAGGCCAGCCTGGGCTCCCAAGTGAGTTCCAGGAAAAGGCGCAAAGCTACACAGAGAAACCCTGTCTCGAAAAACCAAAAAAAAAAAAAAAAAAAAAAAAAAAAAGCTTCAGCAAGCCCCTAAAACTGACCAGATGCACTGGGCCCCTCCTTCTCCAAGCATGTATAAGCAGTAAGGACTATTGGAGTGACTCAGTTGCTATGAACTGCCTAGAAGGGGCTCTGACGGCCTCAGCTGCTAGAGAGAGAGCTCTCCAACCTGCTGAGCTGCCCGCAGGCTGTGCAGGGTGCTCCACACTCGGTGAGCTGTCATCCAGGCTGGAGTGAGTCATTTCTGCTCCTGTAAGTAACCTCAGTAAGACTCATCGATTCACCAAACTGGACTTGAGTGCCATTCTTTGGTCGGTTATTAGTTCCCTGTCTTGGGTGAGCAGATGTTTGTTCTCATCACTGCAACAAGAGATCACAGGACAGAGAGAGAGACACCAAGGTCCATAAAAGTAAAGGGTATCAGTGGTGGAGAGGGAGACAGAGAGGGAAAGATAAAAATGCTAAGACCATTGGGAGAGGTGGGGAAGGCAGAGACTCCAGGGGGAGACAAAAAACAACAACAAAAAAATCCAAAAAACAAAAAACAAAAAACGAACGTTCTCTGTCCTCTGTTCTCAGGCCAGCCATGTCTACCTGTTCTTTCTTTGTTCCCAAATCATTGTCTCACTTTCTCGGCCTCCTCACCCCCGACCCTTGCTTTCTTAGTAGGTTGATTTCAGCCCTCCATGGTCTAGAATCATTCTGGCTAAAAAGGAGTCTGGAAGGATAACAGTCAGGAAAGCTCCTGGTAAGGTATTGGAGACTAGATGGGTATGGTGGTACATGCCTGTCATCCCAATACCCCAGGGGCTGATACAGAAGGATTTCTGTGAGTCTGGAGATGGGCCAAGGCTTGTGAGTGGGTTCCAGAGCAGCCTGGTTACAGGTTTTGAGGGATAAGCATAGAGTCCCTCTCTTTGCGGCTGGGATGCCCCCTCATCTGGAGCTCAGCCATGTCCAAGTGGGCTTCAGTGCTGCAGCTCTGAGGAAGGATGGCTAGCATTTGTTTGGCTCTTGAGTCTCTCCAATTGTTCAAATCTTCACCCAAGGTGGCCATTCATTGAAACTGTTTCTTAAATTTTCAGGCTCACTAGGTTCACTCATATTTGGCTAGCCATTGTAGTGTCTGGCTCTTGGTGTCTCCCTCTCTGTCCTTGCGTCTGAACTTCCTGTTTCTGCTGGGTGCCTTGTGTGTGTTTGTGTAGGTGAACACGTGCGAGTGTATGTGCATGCAGGTGTGTTCATGTGCATGTGGAGGCCAGCAGGCATCCTTCCTGCTGTGGTTTTTTGAGACAGAGTCACTCACTGGACCCAGCTCACCAAATAGGCTGAGCTAGCTGGCCAGTGAACCCCAGGGATCTGCTTACCTCTGTCCCCCAGTACTGGGATACAAGCACATGCCGTTGTGCCCTTCAGCTCAGGTCTTCATACCTGCATGGCATGTGTTTTACTGACTGAACCATCCTCTCAGCCCCAAGCTGGCTTGCTTCTTCCTTCTTTCTTTCCTTCCTTCCTTCCTTCCTTCCTTCCTTCCTTCCTTCCTTCCTTCCTTCCTTCCTTTCTTTTCGAGACAGGGTTTCTCTGTGTAGCTTTGGCTCCTTTCCTGGAACTCACTCTGTAGTCCAGGCTGGCCTCGAACTCACAGAGATCCGCCTGGCCCTGCCTCCCAAGTGCTGGGATTAAAGGTGTGTGCTGCCACCGCCTGGCCTGGCTTGTTTCTTGTCTGTCTCTGCTTGTGTGAGAGGGAGTCTCTTCCTGACTTATCCTCCAGTGCTCTCCCAGCTGACTTTCTCAATGCCTCTGTCTTCCTGTCTGTGGATGATTTCAGGTCTCTGCTCCCGTTCTCACCTGGCAGGTGTCGTTCCCTTCTATCTTGTCACCTGCGCACACCATGCTTCGGGTGATCTTACCAGGGTAGGCACGCTCACACTCCTCCCGGGACACCAGTTGGACATCAGCACACTGAATGGTGTCTGGGAAGTCACCTAGGAGGAGGGAGATGGGCCGATGTGAGCCTTTCCTCTCAGGTCTTCACCCCCCCTTTCCTGTGTCTCTCTCATGCTTAGAACCCGTCTTCTTTGTCCCTGACTTCCGATTTTTCCCTTTCCCCATGGTTATTGGCCTGGCTTCCTGACTAACCATTACTTCTCCATGAGTTCTCATTTCTCTTCTCATTGGCCCTTCATTTTTGTGGCCATCTTCTCCATGCTATTTATTCATCCACATTTGGTCCAGCTCCTCAACTTTCTCCTCCCTCCATCCATCTTTTACCCATGAACAAACTAGCCTACTGGTCCTCTCATCAGCATCTTCTCATGGCCCTCCGTCTACCATCCCACCTCCATCAGTAGACCCCTCCTTTTGGTCTCTTCGGCCACTCCCAACCATCTCCCCTCACTGACCATTTTCCATCTTGCCCCAGCCCAGGATCCGACAGCTGAGATTCTCCTCAGAGCAGTCTTTCTTCAAGGGCAGTGGCTGTATGTTTTGAGAGAATTTGACTGCATTTTTCAGATGCACCATCATGATGTCGTTGTCATGGGTGTCAGGGTTGTAGCGGGGGTGGATAACTGTCCGATCCACAAAGATCTGCCTTTGGTAATTCTCTGTTTGCCGTAGGTTGTGTTTCCCCAAGCGCACCTCCAGATTCCTGGAAAAGAAGGCAGCTAGGAATCATCTACAGGCCTGGACTTCGCCTGAGGCTCCCAGAGAGATCATCTGCCCCTCTTCTCCCTCCTCCCTCAGTCTTCCCCAGCTCAGGCAAAGGCAAGTTTATTCTTCTAGAATTTTGTCTTTAAAATTTTCCTACAGAACTACTTGACAGTCAACTCCCATAGCCGCAGGTTCTACATGTACAGATTCAACTGATCACAGATCAAAAAATACTGGGGGAGCAGCCGGCCAAGTGATGTACACCTTTAATCCCAGCGCTCTGGAGCCAGATGCTGGAGGATTTCTGTGAGTTTGAGGCCAGCCTCATCTATACAGTGAATTCCAGGCCAACTAGGAATACATAGAGAGACCCTGACTCAAAAACAAACAAACCGACAGCACACTGTTGAGAAAGGAGCTGGTGAGAGGGCTCAGAGGCAAAGCGATTGCTGCACCTGCGTGCAATCGCCAGAACCTGCACAAAAGTGGAAGGAGCGGACTGGACTCCACAAAGTTGTCCTGCGACCTCCAGGGGTGCACTGTCACGTGCGCACACCCACATGAAACTAGCCTTAAGTAAAGAAAATTAAAATCTGCATGTATTAAACATATACAGATTTTTTTCTTGTTATTGTTTCTCAAACAAAACAGTTTAACAACTATTTACTGCCATGGGCTCTACATGTAATCTAAGCATAATTTTATTTATGAATTTATTTTTTGGTTATGATCCTAGCTTTTAGTAGCTGAGCCATCTCTCCAGCCCATGAATTTATTTTTTAAGATTTATTTTTTTAATTTAAATATATGTGTGGGTAGATGGGGTATGTGCATTTGAGTGCAGGTGCCCATGAAGTCCAGAGAAGGTAAGATGTTGGATCTCCGGGCATTGGAGTTAGAGGCAGTTGTGAGCTGCCATATGGGTACTGGGACTGAACTCAAATCCTCTACAAGACATTATGTGCTTTTAACCCACTGAGTCATCTCTCCAACCCTATTTTTTAAAAAGATTTCATTTGATGTGTGTGTGTGTGTGTGTGTGTGTGTGTGTGTGTGTGTGTGTGTGTGTGTTCTGATTGGTGTGCGTGTGCAGAGGCCAGAAGAGGGCTTTGGATCCATCTGAGTTGGAGTTACAGGCATTTGATTTGCAGGCTGCCTGGCTTGTGACATGGGTGCTTGGATCCGAAGTTCAGTCCTAATGACTGGGAAGCAAGTGAACTATCAAGCTATCGATGCAGCTCCCATTTTTGTTTTTTGGAGGGCATCTCTTGTAGCCCAAGCTGGCCTCAAGCTCCCTGAGTAACTGAGGATTAGCTTGTGCTTCCAACTCTCCTGCCTTATCTCTCAAATGCTAACACTACGGTGATGCACTACCATGCCCAGTTTGGGAGATGCTGGGTATAGAACCCAGCGCAATCACTCCACCAGCTCCTGCATTACCAGCCCCTGTAGAGATAAAACTTGGAGCTCATGCAAGGATATTCATGGACTACACACAAGTGCTGCACTGTTTCTTTTGTGAAGGGCTTGAGTATCTGAAAATCTTGGTATCCCCCAGGGTCCTGGAAGCTATGGATACCTGGCTGAACAAAGCTGCTTGTAGGATGGCGAGTGCTCAGATCTGTCTCTCTCCTGAAGTCTGCATTGCACCCTCTGGATCCCCTTACATACAGTTCTCAAAGAAAGAGACACTCACGTTTTTTTGCAGTGGGCAGCTGTGAGCACCCACTGTGGATGGATGAGGACTCCACCACACAGCAAGTGACCCGAGGTGTAGAGGGCAGCTTGGAAAGGGTGAGAATTCTTCAAGCAGGGACCACCGTGTACTACCTTATCCTGCTCCTCGGTCCAGGCTGAGAGAGAGAAGATCTGGATGAGAGAACTCAGAGAGCCTTCTGAGATGAACTGCAACCCTCTCGGTCCCTAATCCCGTTCTCACCTCCAATCCTACCTCCCACTCCTCCACTCTATCTCCTCTGTTCTTTTGTTTTGTTTTGTTATTGTTTGGTTTTTCCAGACAGGGTTCCCCTGTGTCCTGGAACTCATTCTGTAAACTAGGCTGGACTCCAGCTCAGAGATCCACCTGCCTCTGCCTCCTGAGTGCTGGGACTAAAGGTGTGAAAGGAGTGTGCCACCGTGCCCAGATATCTCCATCCGCAAAGCCATACTTATTCTTTATCCTCAAATGCACCTCCAGACTTGTTCTTAGCCAGCCCTCTCAGGACTTTCCTCATTTCAAAGCCACCTAGTCCCATCCTAAACTAGCACCTGCCACCAATGCCCATCCATCTATCAACCCCCCCTTCTATATTCCCTTCATCACCTGACTTAGCAAGAACCAAGCACAGGGCCAGTGTCTTCACCGTCAGCATCTTCATGGTCACCTTGAGTAGGGAAGCCAGCGGTTCTGTTAGTCATGTCGCAGCCTCTGTCCAGGACCCCACCCTGCTCCTTCTTCACCCTCTCCATCCTCACTGTCCTGTCCTGTGCTCCTGCCCTTGTTTGATCTCTGCCCCCTTCTCACCTCCTGGTTTCTCATCTCCCAACCCACACCTTGAATCTGAGGGTTCCGTGAGAGCAGACCATGTCCATGGTTCCAGTTGCTTTTGGGAAGAAACACAGCCAACCTTCCTGGCTCCCTAGACTCTGGTCCCCCTTCCTACTAACAGAGGTTAGTCCCAAGGGGTCACTGACACTCTTCCTCTCTGTGGGACTTTCTTTTCCTGCTTGACTCCATCCTTACACTTCACTCACCCCACATCTATAGGTGCTGCGGCGCATGTGTCTTACCGTTGGTGGCCAGCAGTGCACCTGCCAGCACTTAGGTGAGGAAAATGACGCCGCCTATCACAGGAAGCCAGAGGCAGAAACGGTCAGCAAGGCAGGGTGCTCCACGAGAGAAGGGAGAGGACAGACTGGCGGAGGTTGCCTTAGGATCCGAGTTGCACAGGGAGGGAGACACCTGGGTGCAGGGTCCCAAGAATTTACCGTCTCCTAGAAGCCTGCCTGGTTCTATGGCCCTCCAGAAAGAGGCAGGCTCTGTCCTCAGGCTCTCTCAGCTTCCTTTTAACCCCTCTCTCTTCAAGTCTCTTAGCCAGGAGGAAGCCAGACACACCCTTTTCTTCACCCAAGCCTCCCACATACATTCCTTCTGCCCCACGGCTCTGCTCCTGGTGACCCCTGACCAGATAGCTTCAGAAAAGGCAGTACCTAGCTCTGGTCCCTAGTGACCCTGCATCTTCGAATCCTGAGGGAGGAGACAAGTCTGTTCTCCTGGGTCTGAGGGAGGAGGCTGGGGCTTGGACCCCTGAGTCTGAGAGAGGGCTGGAGCTAGACTCCTGGGTTTGAGGGAGGAGGGCTAGGGCCTAGACAAGTCTGAGGGAGAAGTGTTGGTCCTGGACACTTGGGTCTGAGGAGGAGGGATGAGGATGAGCCTGAACCCCTGATCCAAAAAGGAGTGTTGAGGCCGAAATCTTTGGGACTGTGGTGGAGAGAGATGGGAGCTCGTTCTTAGTTTTGGATTTGTAGGATTTGGGATGTGATCAGACTGAGTGCTGAGTGCCAGCTCCCAGGTTAGTCAGTGGTGCCCCAGCCTCCACAAGCACCCCGCCTATACCCTCTAGGGAGCCTGCAGGATCTCCTCCTGGGTTTGTATCTCTGAAGCACTGGAACCAGCTGCCCAGGTTCAGTGGGGTCAGGCTGACTCATCTACCCGTAAGTCCGTCTGTGGGTGCCGAAGACCTCCACATCCCCAGGAGAGTGGGAGCCGCCAGCCAGCTGTTGAGAAAGGGTGTTTCGTTGTTTCACTAAGCTGTCCCCCGCCCCTAACCCGGGCTGGGAAGCAGGATGAGCAATGTGGGGAAAGAGACTTCCAACAATCAGGCATTGTCTGTCCCCAGAAACCTGGTACCATGCTCCCAGCAGCTCCCTTTCTCAACCTCGGTTCCAGGAAGATGGGCGGCAGGCTATCTCAATGACTTCCCTTTGTCCCAGTGTGACTAACAATCTGGCTGGGTCCTTGATCTGAATATTTTAGAGCTCCAGACCCTCTCCTCCAGGACTGCCCTACCTTTGGTTCTGTGGCTCCATTCCTCTCTGTGTCTGCCTATGTCTGTCTCCCTCCATCTCAAATGTATTTGCATCTCGCAAGCTTTTGCTCTGTTGTTTTTTCTTATTCTTCTTTTTCTTTTGTGTCTCAGACTTTCTCTGTCTCTGTTTGTCTCTCTCCTAGCCCCCTGGACTCTACATATCTTCTGTTTCTCTGCTGGCTCTTTCCTTGTACTATTTGGGGAAATGTGTGTGCACTTGGTATGCAGTGATGTTCCCGGAGTATAAGAAGGGATGGCATGGTGTCGGGGGAGGGAGCCAGTGAGGTGCAGGAGGGTGTGTAGACTCACTGGTTAGGTTTTGCACATACAGAGAGACACACAGGTAGAGAGAAGCTGGCATGCAATAACTGGGGAGCAACACCAAGGGAGATAAGCAAGAGCACTGGGAAGCTGTGTCACGAACTGGGAGAATTATGGGGAGGTGCCTTTGAACTTGGGTCTGAGAAGCAAGAGTCGGGGAAGAAGAGAGGATGCAGGCGTGTGTGGGAAGAGCAGGCAGTGGTCAGTGTGGGCTGCGAGGGAGGGACTTATGGAAGGTGGAGGGTGGAGGGACGCGGGGAAGGGTGTGGGGATAAAGAGGGAAAATGGGGACATACTAGGAAACCAACAGGCAATGGCAACAGCAGCATGAATAATGTGCCCCTCAGCATTTGCTGGGCATGGCACCTCATGTGACCTTCTCCTATCCCCGTGTATTAGTCAGTTCCCATCATCCTGGTTAAGAAAACTCAGTTGGCACTTCACACCAGGTCTCTTCTGAACTTAGCATCTTCTTCTTGTGTCCCACTATTTCCCCAGACACAGAGGCAGTTCCCCTCACACAACCCACTGGCCATGCAGCCGTGTCCGCTTGCCTCGCTTCTGTGGGACCCACTCCTCTCTGTTCCCGTGTTCTGGCCCCAGTGCAGACTGGTTCTTCACCCATCTGAGCACTCTCCGTTCTCTGGGTCACTCATTAGACTTCCAGAGGGGTGTCCCTGCACTTTGCTTGGACTAACTCTGGTCTTGCTTCTTACAAGTCTGCCCCAACTTGTCATGCCTCTTGAGACAAAGTCTGAGACTGGAGGATCTTCAGCAACTAGGGGATAGGGGCATAGCTCAATTGTAGAGTCCCTTCCTGAAATTCTCTAGCAAGGGGCTGGAGATGTGGCTCAGAGGTAGAACACCTGCTGAGAATCCCTCAGTGAGGGACCAAGGGTGTGGCTTATTGTTGGAGCCCCTGCCTAGGATCCTACAGTGATGGGTTATGTGTGTAGCTCAGTGGTATATTACCTGCCTAGAATTCCCCAGTGAGGGGCTGGAGGTGTAGCTCAGGGGTAGAACATTTGCCTAGAATCCCCCAGCGATAGTCTGGGGTATGGCTCAGAGATTGAGAGCATGCCTAGCATGGGCAAGTTCCTCAGTTCCATTCCTCAGCATTATCAAGTGATGTTATATGTTCTTGTTGCCAAGATATGAAGTAATGGCTATGTTAAGTAGTTTTGCTTAACCATTCCACATTGTACATTAATTAAAATACCCTAAGAATATGCAATTTTCATGTGTTCCTTGAAAGTAAATTTAAGAAATAAAGGAAGAGAACAGCTAAAAAGATACAGCAATTGGTTGAGTTTGGTGGCATAGGCCTGTCATCCCAGCTAGTTGGGAGGCTAAGACAAGACTATTGCAAGTTCAAGCCCAGTTTAGGCCACAGAATGAAACCCCCATCTTAAAATGAAAAGGAAAAAGGAAGTTGGCATCACAGCTCCGCAATTCAGTATTGACCTAGCGGGTATGAGGCCCTGGGTTCAAGCCCCAGTATGATAAAATGAAACAAAACAAAATCAGGAATTTATTCAGTTCCTTTATGTAACTCAAGACGTTAAAGGTACGTGGATTTAGAACATGGAAGTTATCAAAGGATCCATTTGCTTCATGTCTTGGCATACCGAGTGCTTGGAATCTGCTCAGCCTTTTACATTTATAACTCAACTCAGTGGGAACTCATTCCTTTCCAGCCTTGAAGGCCCATGATCACCCTGGCTACTCACTGCTTGGGCCAGCCTTTCCCATCATTCTGTGCTCCAGCTTTGGAGACCATATCAAGTGTCCTGAGTCGCTCCATACCCCGTGGCCTCAGAGTCTCTTCTCCTGAGTTTCTTCCTCTTTGTTTCATGCTCTCCCCACTTTTTGCTGTCGACCACCTCTTCTCCCTTTGGTTTTGGCTGGAGCATTGCCTCTTAGAACAAATTTCCACTGGACATCGCCCAATGACAGCTGTCACGGTTGAGTTAGTCATTCTCTTGTGTGGGCTTCCACAGGTGTCTCTTTCCAGGTGTTGCCCTGGACCAGAGCCATTTGTATCAGTGTCCATCTCCTTCACTGGATCTTGAGCTCCATGAGCATGGACTGTGCTGACTCACTGCTGCATCCACTGGGAATTCGGGAAATGTTGACCCATGACTGCCATGACTTCATCCACTCCTGTTGTAGACAGGAAAACTGAGGCACAAGGTAGAGAAGTTCATTGCTCAGGTACAAGCACACAGGAAGTGGCAGAGACTGCATTGACACTCAACTTCCAACATTGTGGTATTCCACTATAACATAAGCCAAAATGGCAGCATTCCAACATGGAGGATTCCAATATGACCTACCCCAACATGTTATATTCTAACATGATATATTCCAACATGGTATGTTCTAACATTGTTCCAAAATGAAGTCTTTCAACATAGTAGTATTCCAACATGGACATGTTCCAATACAACAGTGATTCAGCCCATCTCTCTACAACTCCCCAAAGATGATAATACAATTCCTTACTGTAATACAAGGTGAGTGGGCCCAGGAGAAATCATCCATGATGGGAAAGGAGGGGACACATAGGACTTGAGTCTCTCGTGGCCTACTCATGCCCATTCCTGTCCCATTGCCTCCTTTCTAGTCCCATATTACTGGTGGGACTAGAAAATCTTTAAAGAGAGAGTGAAGCCCTCCTATCCACTATCACTGACTTTTATTATTTTCCCATCCCCTTACCTCTGATCAGACCATGCATGTTTAAGTGTCTGAATATTTGTATCTAAATCGACTTACTCAGCTAAAATCTTCAATAAAAATTTTTAAAGGAAATTTTATGAGAGTAAACAGGAAAAACATGAGAAGTAATAAGACTGAGAACTAACTCTCATTGGTGCTTTGTACTGTGTCTGATGCTGTTCCAGCACTGTTTACATATGAAATTATTTAATCTTTATGATGATGCCAAGAGGTGGGAGCTTGGCCTCCCACTTAAAGGCTGAAGGAACACAGATGGGGAAGAAAGACAACAGGATAGGAAGAGCAGACAGTGGGCTGGGGTTGCAGCTCAGTGTTAGAGCTTCTGCTTCCCGGGGGGAGGAGAAAGAGAAAGAGAAGAGGGAGAGAGCCAGAGAGAGAGGACTGAGGTGGAGGGGGAGAGGGAGAGAAACATTAGGAGAGGAAGGAGACAAGGAGAGACAGAGAAGAAGAGAGGAGGGAGGAGAAGAGAGACAGGAGAGCAGAGAAAAGAGGGGGTGCATTGGTGAGGAGAAGAGAAGGGACAGGAGGCCAGGGAAGGGAGGGGGAAGACGGGGATAAAGAGAGGGGAAACAACATACACAGGGGTGGGTATTCCTGGGAAAACTGGGGTTTCTATTTGCAATTCTTAGTCTTGTCAATAAAAGAATTTAAAAACCGACTTGGGGTAATTTTATTATAAATTGGGGGGCAGGGCATATATGAAATCACCAAAAGTTAATAAAAATATTTTCTTAAAAAAAACAGAGAAGGCAAGCTGCCTAGTGGAGGGAGGTGGAGAAGGGCAAGAGAGAAAGCCGTGATTTTTGCAGGCATGTTCAGCAATGGAGGTTGGCAAGCAGCTGCAAAGTGGAAGTGGAAGGGGACCTCAGAGAAAAGAGAAAAATCCCTGAGTGTCAGGGAGAGTATACCTGGGCTTTGGCCAGTACCTAAAGGAAAAAGATTGAAAAGTAACTCAGAAAAGCGTTCAGACAGCATGAGCTTCTGCATGGAGGAGGGGTTTCTGGGAAGGGTGAATTCATGATCTCATTACGGGGATAATTATTCCTCCCTTCACCTTAGCATGCCTTCAGGTGAATCAGATTTCCAGTGGACTCCTGACCAGGTGATTGGCAGGTCCGTCTGGATTAACTTTGAGGAGATAGTAGTCTAAGCAGCCTGTCATGTTCTAATCTTTGAAGCAGATCAGTGACATGTCTCCACCCAGACCAGAGGTAGATTCCATTCTTTTGACCAGGAGGAAGTCATTCTCTCTGAATGATCTTCAACAAAGACCTGATGTTTCTGCCTATTCTTTTCCTTCCTTCCTTCCTTCCTTCCTTCCTTCCTTCCTTCCTTCCTTCCTTCCTCCCTTCTTTCCTCCCTTCCTTCCTTCCTTCCTTCCTCCCTCCCTCCCTTCTTTCCTTCCTTCCCTCCTTCCTTCCTTCTTGTTCACAAACACTGGACATTTAATATCTACAAAGCTGACATGACCCATGTCATGCTTGTTTTTTTTTTTTTTAAAGAGCATCTCCTATTCTTTGATAATTCCACACATGCATACAAGGTGCCATGATTATATCCACCCCTTATTTTTCCTCCCACTCTCTCTGAACATCACCACCTTATTTCCTTCCCACTTTCAAGTCCTCTCCTTTCTTTTCTTCTTTCTTTTTATTGTTGTGGGATATTGAGTCCAGTTAGTTCTGCCTGTTGAAATGCTGGTGGATCTTGTTGACTCCACCCCACCCC